GGATGAACCTTGAAAACATCATGATGAGTGAAATAAGTCAATCACAAAAAGACAAATATTATCTAATTCCACTTATATGAAATATCTGCAATAGGCAAGTGTATACAGAGGTAACTTTATTAGTGGTTACAAGTGGCAGGTAGGAAGGAGGGGGGAAGGGGGCCTCATTGCTTAGGGGACACTGAGCTTCTGTTAAGGGAGATGGAAAAAATTGGGAAACAGGTAATAGTATGATTGCTATAACATGATGAACACCAGTGTCACTGAATTATACATGTGAAGAATGTTGAAAAGTAAAATATTTTGTTTCATATATATTTACCACAATAAAAAATATAATGTGATAAATAAACAAGTAGACGGACAGAAATAAACAAAAATATTAAATGGCAATTTTCTCACCTATATTCAGTCCAAGGAAAATGACTAGTGCTAGGTCTTTATGGTTTGATTCTTCCTAGCTTTTCCAGAAGGCACAAATTATACCTTAATCAAAGAGTATACCAAGCACCAAGACAGTTATCATCGTGGGGATGCCAGAAAAGTAAACTACCACCAGTAAAGAATCCAACTCTGTTTTTAAGACATCTCTTTTAGTGCTTTCTTTTCTCTAAAGACTATACATGAACCCGGAGCTTAAAAGAGGAAAAAAACTTACATTTTTTCCAAGGTCTGTTCTGTTACCTGTTTTTCTTCCCATATCCTTCTGTGTGTCACTGGAAATGGCTCAGACTCTATGCTCTTGTGATCTTATTGCTCATTTGAGTCAGTGATCACACAAAGATGTCTGCATGGAGGTATAGATGAAGGTGACAGAGAAGAATAAGTGTGAAGCAAGAGAAATGAAATAAGTCCTTTTATGGGGAAAGGGTGGGAGAAAAAGGTCTCTAAGAAAGAAATGTGGCAGAGAGTGTTGCTTTCTCTAAGATGAGAATAAGAAGGTAATAACACAGAGAGTCCATTGCCTTCCAAATGAAACAAAACTGTCTTTTTAAATTAATTATATGCAATAAGAGTAATAAGCAGTGTAGTGTTCTTGTTGGTTGACCTCTCCAAAGATTCTCCTCTGTCTTTCCTATTTTCCAAATCTCAGCATTGCTCCCCTCAGAACCAGAGCTCGGTGTATCAAGTTCAGGGAAATTTGAAGTATCAGGGATGCTGATTCTAGGGAGAGGAGTAGTTCTTTTTAGGGGAGATATGAAGATACACACATAGACATTACTTGAACAACCCAAAACACTAAACAAAACTGAAATATGGAAGAAGAAGAAAAGGAGAGAAAGAATCCTTGGAAAGGAACAGAAAACATCACCAGTTTCTCAGTTACTTTCAGGTGTTTCAGGGACACCTGGAGTCAGGAAGAAGGGAGAGAGGAGAGCGAGAATGTGAAGTCCTCATCCCTAGTCTTAACTGAATTTCCTCTTTGATTAAAGAACCAGTATTGTGGGCCTTCATTAATATCAATAACTACATGGTACGAATATGCTATATTTAATGCCTTCTTGATCTAAATTCGATTTATAGCCTATTCCCTCTTGTGGGTTGATGAGTCACAGAGGTTGAATCTAATATATGTAAATGAGAACTTCCTTTTCTCTGTCTCTAAACCAGATCCTCCAAACTTTCCTAAAATATATTAGATCCTCTTTCACACATTTATAACATCTTGGAACTATGAATAACTCTCATACCCTCCATGGTTGCATGATTATATTCTTCAGCTCAATCTTCATGTTTTTACTCAAAAAGAATATCTTTCAAAGTTATAATAAACAAATCCTCCACGCCATTGCTTCCACTGACCATGATACTTGGACTTCGTTCTATTCTCTATTGTCTTCTTGGTACCAATATCACATTTCCTACAAAAGGATAGTATTTATTATTTTATAATCCCTTTCCATTTACTATTAGGACAGATGGTGCCCTTATTCTCACCTTCCCTCTGTATCTAACATCATAGATCCAAGTTAGAAAGTCTGGGCAGAGCTGTGCTCTCTCTTTCTCACATCCTCACAAAATTAGGGATCCTCTTTCTGTCATCTTTCAAAAAAGCCTTTCTATAGGGAAGCTCATCCCAGTGAAGCAGCCTCACTTATGGACACTCCCTCTGGGACTCTACTCTACTAATGATTGTGTTCAGAAGTACTAATTGGACTTGGGCTGAGCCCCTCTACCTTCCCTTATCATCTGGGACTATGGCTTAGGAGGTTGCTCCTTCTCCTTCCTTAGACCTAGGTCTCACTAAGGCAAAGACCCTGTAACTTCTGACAACATTTGTGCCTGTAGGGAGATCTACCCTTTAGGGGACACCACAGTCTTCTACAATATCAATAGCCAAGCATGAAGAAATCTCAAGGGAAAACTGGTTCTCAGTTCATTTTCTCAAGAAGCCATCCTCCCTAACCTATCCTTCCTATAATTATTGAGTATTTGCTATAAATACAATCATCTTAACTCAGTCAAATTAGGTGCAAGACATAGGAGATTGTGAGATAGTACGGAGACGGCTCTGACAGCTGTTATTATGTAGTCATCCTTCAATCACTTTCTCATTTCCTGCCCTCACACAATTGCATCTATTCTTGGATTTTCTCTAGACATTGGCTTGTCATTTTCAGACTACCTGATTTAAACAAGGCTTTGAGAACTAAGAGAAGAAAGAACAGAAGGAGTACCATATTAAAAGATCTGAGATTATATACAAATTGGAAACAGTCTTGGTCTCATTTTTACACATAATAACAATGACATATGGCTTATGGATATAGATTATATGTCATTGAAATGACCATAAACTGGATAATATCAGTGTTTTTCTACCATTCACCAGCACAGAAGAAACTGTCATTAGCTTGTTGTTGTGGTGTGCCATCGAGTCGTTTCTGACTCATAGCAGCCCTATAGGACAGAGTAGAATGGCCCCATAGGGTTTCCAAGAAGCAGTTGGTGGACTCAAACTGCCAACCTCTTGGTTAGCAGCCTGAGCTCTTAACCACTTTGCCACCAGGGCTCTGTCATTATCTAGAACACCTAAATAATAGTTAGTGGCCATGATAAAAATCTAATGAAAACAGAGAAACATATTTTAATAAATTGTCTCAAAAATGTAATACACTTGTAAAGAGTTACAGAGTGACATTTGTTACTTTTGGTTGCAAAATTATCTATTTGACTTTTGAACAACATCCTTATTGCCTTTAGGAAAGTGACTTCTTCTCTCCAAAGAATATAGTCCGATGGCACTGTCAGCTGATCTCTCAACCCAGAATTTGAGGAAGGAGACAAAGATATTGAAAAATAGTTGGAAGTGATTTATTTCCAGAAGGGCAGTCTGAGAAGACAGTCCCAGATTTTAGACAGTTCTGTCTATCTCTCTCCCACTCCATATCCCTGCGCGCGCGCGCGCACACACACACACACACACACACACACATACACACACACACATGCACCTCTCTGCTTTGATTCCTTCCCTAATGAGTAGATCTGGGCATTGCATATTAAAGCTGCTAATTTCACAAAAATGTGACATAACCACACATTATGCTCCACTTCATGGAAAAACACACCATCTATGAAGTAGTCTCCCCCACTTCTAAAAATCAGACATGAATCTGATCAAGCTTCCAGATACAACTTCTAACTTATACGGAAAATACAGAGCACAGAGGAACATGTTAAACTACAGTATGGCATTGAAATAGTAGAAGTCTAGATTGCAGGAAATTCTATAGAAAATGACACAATTTCTTTCACAAATTAATGACAAGAGACAGAGTAAAGAGAGGGGGACAAAGAAGAAGAAAGAGAGGCAAAGAGGAAGGAGAGAGAGGGAGAGAGAGAATAATCCATTGATTCAAAGAGATTTAAAAGACTAAATAACCAATCACAATGAGTGACCCTTATTTGGATCCTGATTTTTAAAAAAACCTATAAAGATTTTATTATATTTATGAGAGAACTGGATTTTTCTACACTGATTGGCATTTGATATTAAGGAATTGTTAAAAATTTTAGTTATGATAATTGCATTGAAGTTGTGTTTTTAAAAAGTTCTTATTTTTTAGAGGTTGCTATTGAAATATTTATGGATGAATTATATGACATCTGTTATTTGCTGCAAAATAACATGGGAGAGGGGTGGATAGAGGTAGAGATGATACATCATCAGCCAGGTGTCTTAGTTTCCTATGGTAGCCATAAAGATATACCACAAGTTAGGTGGCTTTAAAGAACAGAAATATATTTTCTCACAGTTCTGGAGACTAGAAGTTCAAATCAGGGTCTTGGCAGTGTTGATTTCTTCCAGAGGCTTTGAGAGAGGAACTGTTCCATACCTCTCTCCTAGTTTCTAGTGGCTGCCGACAGTCTTTGGCATTCCTTTGCTGCTGACAGACAGCATGTGTGATGAGGAAGGCAGATGTCTTCCTCGTCACACACGGTGTCTGTCTTTCCCCTGTATGTGACTCTGTTCCTGTGTCTGTTCTTCCCTTTTATAATATATCGCTCAGAAGAAATTAGGATGAGGACCCATTCTACTCTTCTATGACTTCGCTTAACTAATAACAACAGAAAAACTCCTTTCCAAACAATGTCACATTCACGGATACAGGGGTTAAGACTTCAACATATCTTTTGGGGGATACACAATTCAATCTATAATATCATAAATTGATAATTACTGAAGATAAGTAATGATAATATTCTTTTCTGCCTATTTTCTATTAGTTTGAAACATTCTTTAATTTAAAAAAATTGTATTAAAGTTAAATAGCCTTGAGAAGGGGTCTCAAACGCATGCTGATGAAGGAGCTCTGAGTACACGTGTGCATGAAGGTGTAATGTTACAATTCTGCCAGAGCACCACGTCACCAAGGGCCAAATCTGGAATTCCTTAAATTGTTCTAGTCATTCATCCCTCTCATCTGCCTATAACCAACAATGCTCAAAATCTTTCCACTCTTGTCTTCACCTATCCAATATTGTCCTTAGGTGGACTAATCAGGAGCCCACCCTCCCCGTCCAAGCAGTCTGCCGAGTGCACTCTTCACATCCTTATTGCGGAGGCTGTACACAAACGGGTTGGCCAAGGGTGTGATGGCTGTGTACATCACAGCAGCCACCATGTCTTGGTCCCAAGAGTTCTGTGAAGGGGGCTGGAAGTAGACCCAAATGATGGTACCATAGAGGAAGCCAACCATAGTGAGATGGGACCCACAGGTGGAGACTGCACGTCGACGACCAGCAGCTGAAGGCAAACGAAGGATGGTGGCCCCGATGCGGACATAGGAGAGCACAATGAGGGAACAGGGGCCCAGCATGAGGAAGCCACCCTCCAAGAATATGGCTAGCTCATTGGAATGTGTGTCTGAGCAAGAGGCTCGCAGAAGTGGTCGGTGGTCACAGAAGAAGTGGGGAAGGTTAAGATTGCCCCCAACATCCCCAACCCATCAAAGGGACAGGAGGAGTCCCACATGTAGCACAGTGTGCAGTATGGATACCAGCCAGCTAAAGGTCAGTAAGCGGGCACAGAGTTGCCGATTCATCACCAAAGTATAATGCAGAGGGTCACAGATGGCAACATAGCAATCTAGAGCCATGACAGCAATGACAAGTGTGTCCATAACTCCAAACACATAGAAGAAAAAGAACTGGGCCAAGCAGCGGACAGCAGGAATGGTTGGGTAATCAGAGATCAGATGGGACAGTAACTGGGGCAGGGTGACTGTGGACAGCCCCATGTCTATCACAGAGAGGCCACGGAGCAAATAGTACATAGGTGACTGGAGCATGGAGTCACGGGAGATTAGCAGCACCAGAGTCACATTCCCCATTACGGTGGTCAGGTAAATAGCCAGGAACAGAAGAAAGAGGAGACAGTGGGGGGACTCTAGCTCTTGAGAGCCCAAGGAGCAGGAAGACTGGAGAATGTGAAGCATTAGGGGCACAGCCCATGATGAGTAACAAACAGCCTGTCTGAGAGAGTTTGAATCAAAAAGTATGTCATAACAATAAAGAAAAAAAATAAGTCAGGGGTCAAAGATTATGGATCCTAATGATTCTACTTAATTTAGCTATGTTATTCAAGTTCCTTAAACACCTGGAGTTAACTCTGATCAGCTATGTTTCTTCCTCCTGGTCTAGTACTTCACTCCATTTACTATAGAACTTTCTCCCTTATTTCTTCCTTTTCTCTCATTCTAGTGACTCCTTCCACCTAATCCACAAACCCTGCTAAATTCTCTCTTCACTAAGTAAGGGGTGAAGTGGGCAAATCCCACCCTCGTTACAAACTGTGTGGTAAGGATCAGTATGAATCCAATCCCCCAAAGTGTGGATATGGATCCAGTAATCACCTTCCCACTTCTCCATCCTCACTGCCAACTACCCATGAGGAACGCTCTCTCCAACCTTAGCCACCCATAGCTGGCTCAGAGCTCAAAAGTTAGATGAACACCATTCTTCAGACCAGCTGCCCATGAAGCTCTTCTCTGACCCTAACCACCTGGAACTAGGTCAGAGCTCACAAGGCGAAAGGACACAGTCCTTCAGGCTGCCAAATAGGCAGGCATAAATCCCTGCTGGCTCTCACTGCCCGTGTGAATTCAATAATTCACTAGAACAACTCACAGAATTTCACGGAGAGTATACCATACTGATGACTATGGATTTATTACGATCAAAAAAGATACAAATGAAGAGACACATAGGGTGAGGTCTTGGAGGGGTCCCAGCACAAAGCTTCCTTGTCCCAAAGAGGAACACACTACCCTTTCCTGTGCATGGTCACCAAGTAGGAAATTCAGCTGAACCTTTTGGTTCAGGGCTCTTATCAGCCTCCCCACATGGCCATGATAGATTACATAATGCCTCCTGAGGCTTAGTCAGCATCGGGCCCCAGATGGTCCCTCTTAGTCTGGTCAGTCCCACTCATTAGCCTCAAGTGTGGTTGAGCTCTCAGGAACCCAGAACAAAGGCCAAATTGCAAGGTACCTCCACACCTTGCACTTTCCCATAGTGAAAATAACCCTTTATTTAATCTTATCTTCTCACCCAACTACTGCTTTATCTCCTTTCAGTGGCAAACCTCATGAAAGAATTACCTATACTCACTGTTTCCACCTCTCACTCCTTAGCCCACTGCAGACTTCATACCCATTTACACCTCAGCTCACTGCAGTCTTCATGATTTCTTCTCTCTGAAACTTTAAAGAACATAATACATCATTAAAATACATTACATATACAAAAAAATGGTTCTTTCTAAGTAGTTGGCTTTTGCAGTGAAATTGCTTCAGGTAGTCATTGAATGACTTGTTTTTCCTCTTTATTCCTTATGTTGATTAATGGCATCAATGTTATCATCCCCTGACTGCCTAAAACAAAAACTGAGGGAATCCCTCCCTCATCTCACCACATCCAATAACTCCTTTACTTTTTACATTTTTCCCTTTTACACATCCTTTGCTCTCCATTCAATATCAATGTTTAAGCTTCAGCGTCTATGACCAATATTAGTTTCAGTAGCCTCCTTACTAGCTTCTCTACCTAACTTCCCTAAGGGTCTTCCACATTGATGCCAGAGTAAAACTTTCAACATGTGACTTCATTTTTAAATAGTCAGAGCCTTCAGAATAAAATCCAAACAGTTTGTTTTGGCTTGTAAGGTCTTTTATTATTAGTACTTACACTATCTTTTTTTTTTTTTTTTAATATTTTATTGTACTTCAGGTGAAGGCTTACAGAACAGATAGTTTCTCATGTAACAGTAACACACATGCTGTTTTATGACATTGGTT